CTTTTTTGTCTACTGCTACATGAAGTTCTTCCAGGTAATGTCTCAAACTACCATGTCGACCCAAGACATCCATCATAGGGACTCTTCAAGTTTCAGGTAAAATATTTCCCTTCTTCAAATTAAATCTCTTACTCAAAAACACCTCTGTCTATACTGATGGCTCCCAAAACCATTGATCATAGTCCAAAGTAAAACAGTACAGCACCCTAAGGATAAAATAAACATAGCATTTTTAATATGTAGTGTCTCCAAACAATGACACTGAAAAACAGTTAATAAAACTATAGTATGACCATATGCTAGATGCTATATGGCACAGGCATTTTGGCCCTAAATAATGAAATGATTATCTTGCACAAGTCCCCTATCTGAAGAATACAGGATAATAATTTTATATGGCTGGAATATATTAGAGGCAGTTTCTTAGCTTTAGCACATCCCATATCATTGGAAAACTGAATTACAATATGATTCTGTGGAAACAAAAAACAGCCCCTCACTAGCAGTGCTACAGTAGAAAAGAGAAGCAGAAGTACACAAGCCTAGCTCAACAGAAAACCAAGGCAGAATAAAAAAATAAATGAGCAGGAAGGAAGCACTCAGAAGCTAATTTGAAAAGGAAAGGGGAAACAGCATATTTGTAAATAAACATATCAGAAGATTAGTTAAAGGGAAAGCGCCAAGAATGGGAAGAATACGAATGGCACTAGAAATGATAGGAGAAAAGGGATAAGGCAAATGATATGTTTGTAAGCATAAAACTTAAAGCTAAATAGAAATGGCAACATCAAATAAAGTTGATTTAGAAAACAATAGTACCATTCTGTATTAATATAAATATCACAATAATGTCTCTTAAACATCCCACTGTATGAAATTTAGATTCTATGTTAAACAGATCCTTAATTTTTCTTAAATTTAGGTTTTATTGAGCTTTGTTGGAAATAGTAGTTTTAATTGCAGAACTTATTTTTTTCTGAATATAAAGACATACTTCTATATGAGAAGCATTGTCAAAGTGGCTTTCTTATTTAAACTAAAGAAAAATACTATTACATGCACTTAACAAAGTCTGGATGATCTATGGAAAAAAATTGGGATTACAGGACAGTCACTCAAACTGTGATCAAATGACAGTCTGCTACAACTGTAATGCTGCAAGACTCTTAGATTAATATTGATTGTAAATTGTCAGGTGGAACTGAATAATAGGAAATCTGAAGGGTGCTCCATGGAGTTCAGATTCTCAGGACTACTGGGGTTTGTCTCACTCACTCTCCATTGAGCTTTCATCTTTTCGGTTGGCTCTCCAGGCTAACTGCTTTGTAACATGTTTGAGCTACTAAAGGTTTTAAAACATAATGGGATTAAGGATCCTTAACTCTCATTCCACTGTGTAAACTATGGATCAGGCATTTCCTGACTCCAGTCTGTGACCATATTCTCAACAGGTCAATGAGGAGGGAGGACCAAGCCGACCTATCATCAGCTGTCACCCAAACTTGCCCCCTGACTGGCCTGACATACATCCTTACTCTAAGAATTTAGTAAAAGACTATCTTAAATGGCATCCTGCCTGTGCGGAGGCAGGGTGGTTAATCTTTGACAAAAGAGCATTCACATGTCAACAAAACAAATACCTAATGGAAGGCCCTACTGCACAAGAATAAAGTAGGCCATTCAAGCTGCCAATAAAAAAGAAATTTGGAAAAGATTGAAAGTTTGATTCCAGCATAATCATTTCCACCAAGATTGAAGTCTAACCCAAACCCTACTGCTCCTCCTACAGCCCCAAACTGAGACTACATGAGGCCCCCAAGGGTCAACGGCAAGAGGCTTGTGTCATGAAATGCTTTCAAACTTGAATAAGGGAGAATGGAAATCAAAACACTGTTTTACTTTGACATGACTCTTTCCTAAATAAATTCCATGTCATAACTGTGTGCTTTTGAAAAACTGTGAAGATTATTAGAAGAAAAAAAAATGATGTTGATCTTCCAATCACTCAATTCCCTCTACATTTGCCATGAGAATTCTTTCTTTTCCATACAGTGTGAGTATTGGTGAGTAATCGGAAACAGGGCTGACTATCTCAAGAGCACTCATGTCTCTGTTCTATGTATGTAAGCAGATTAATCCTCAGAACAAATATTACCTAATGCATTTTAAATCAACTCTTCTCTTGTTATGTATTTTATGACAGGTTTGTGTTTCAAATACAATATTTTAGTTTATTCCAAATGTATTTATTGTCAACAAATATAAGAACCAGGAAACAAAACAAAACCAAAAATGGTGAAATATAAAAGCTAAAAAACAACACAAAGCAAGTGCATAGATTTCAACTTTTCATGTGGTGTTCCTGAGTTTTCATAAACCACTCCGCTAGTCTCTTAAATCATCTATTCCTATGGTTCTCAACTGGGAGGGGACGGAGGTAATTTGCTCCCCAAGGGACATCTGCCAATCCCTAGAGATATTTTTAATCATCACAACCAGGGAATGCTACTGGCATCTGGATGGCAGATGCCAGGGATGCTGCTAAATATTCCACAACAAACAGGATAGCTCCCACATCAAAGAATTTCTGGTCCAGAATGCCAATGATGCCAACATTGAGAAACATTTTCTAATCTTAAGATTAATTATCAAACAGAAGCTATACCAATCTATAGTTTCTTGTTTATAATTTGTAACACTGTGGAATAGTTCCATTGTTACTTATGCCTTAGAAACACACTGAAAACAGGCCTGTCAGCAATTTCTTTTTGAATATGTTATACCTGCTAGAACTTTTACAAGGTAAGGGACAGTCAGCATTTTCACTATATCATTTTTTTTTTCTTGGTTTTATCATAGGAAAAAACTGCACTTGGCATGCATCCTCATGCAGAAGGTATTCTGACTGTTCTGATGTTAAATATAGCATAGTATAATGCCCACATCTTTGAATTTGAAATAAAGGGTATTTCTTTTGCTTATACATAAAACAGTCCTTTATTTTAGTGCTTTGAGATGCCATCTTCACTGTTATTCCATATAAAGACCATTCGGCTCTAAGAGTGTGAAGCCCAAAGTTTTCACCTCAATACACAAGATATAAAATAGTTATATCTACCCTCGATATGCCTTTAATTAGATGGTAAACTTCATGAAGACAGGAAAAACTTTCTTATTGTCCATGTCAGCAAAAAAAATCAGAAAAACTAAAAAGGGTGTCGGGATTGTGATATACCCGTGTAGAATGGCTGAAAAGCTAAATACTTCAAACAATAAGGTCAAAAATTCAAATATGTTTTGATATTGGACCAATTCCAATATGAAATCTGGAAAAACTTGGTTTAATACATTTATCTAAAAAACATGGAAGTTGTAGAATAAAAGGACGTGGGAGAGGATTGTTTATTTCCAAGGCTAATCTCTTTTGACAACATTGAGAAGAAGTATACCACTGGTGAATCAAAACAAAACAAAACACTGCATGGAAATAATCTGCACCAAGTTTGAAGTGAACAAGGCTGATGATTAACTACCTCACTGAAATATTTTAAGTCAGGCTAAGCAGTTATTTCATCCTTACTGGGCAGTTCAACTGCTCTTGAAGTTTATTCTTCCCTTTAGCCCAGCAGGCCCTTGCACATTAATTATGTTCTCTGTTTAATGCCATCCCTAATACCACACCCTCATTCTGCTTCTCCCCAACCCCCAACAGATAAACAAACACAAGAACACCTACATGTTGCCTCCAAAGCTGTGACAACTTCCAATTCACAGAAATACTCATATGCTAATTTATCCCTAGTCACTCTTCAGGCCTTTCCTTAGATATCACTTCTATTGTTTTCTGTTCTTAAACCCATATTAAGTACTCTTGTGGCCTCCTATATTTTCTCTAGTTAGCACTCCCTATTGTTAATGGCCTACTGTGTAGTAATTGCCCATTTATTTGTCTGTATCTCCCAAGACAATATAATTTCCAGGATAACCATTTCAACATATATTTCAAGTACACTGAAAATCTTCAATGCCTACTACCATATCTTGCACATCTTTAGATAACAATAAATATTTCCCAAGTGAATGAATAGATGAATAAAATAAAATACATAGCTATTTTCTACCAACCCACACACATTCAGAGCACACACACAATTTCACCAGATATGTATGCAAAAAGATTGACAGGACTTAGAGATTCTAGACCTTTAAAGAGGAAAGTAGAAAGTGCTGGCTGCTAGTGCCAATGGGGGAATTGAAAAACAAAGTAAAAACAATGAAACCACTGAGTTAAGGTTTAGGTAGTATTATTCACCACAACTATTCTGTGTTTCTTTCTTTAAGGAACCATTCATGCCTAATGTGGAAGTCCAAAACAAAAATAATAAATCTCTATATAGGTCAGATCATGTGGTTTAAAATATTAAATAGTTGATAATTTATGAGGATTACAGTGTGAAGCACCGCCAGGCCTGGATGAGGTCCCAATGCTTCCCTGTCCTAAATTATGACCAGTATTATTTATTCCATCATATTTTTCCTTCCCAAAAAGGGTCATTTGCTTTTGAAAGTGATAAGAAGGATAAAGAGCATGGCCCCATTACATGGTTTTTACAAACATACGTACCTTATCATAACCAATGTCTTACCTTTAAGACAGAAACACAGAGTTACAAATAACAGTTCTATTATCTAAAGTGATGTTTGCATTTAACTGATCATCCGGACTCAAGCACTGAGATACAGACCACTGTCAGAAACCTCGTATTTTCCAAGACATTGTCCAGACTAGGTTCCCGGCTGCTTTATCAGAGAGTTTTATCAGGTCTCTGCATGATAAGGGTTGCTACTATTTGCCAAGTTGGAATTTTTGTAAAATTCTTTAATTTTCTGTTGTTAATCCATCAAACACAAACACAAGAGGACTTATCTTGTTTTATAAGAAGAAATAACTTGCTGGACTGGGAAGTACTGGGAAATAGAGGGTTGGGAATGATGAGGAGTTTTTTTTTTTTTTTTTTTTAGTTTACTTAACTCTGTCAAATCCAGGCTATTTTGTGTGTGTGTGTGTGTGTGTGCTTTAATACCAAGAGTAAAAGAAACCTATGCAAGGGACTGAATTCTCTGCTTGTAGAGTGGCTGTTTAGCCTAGTGGTTAAGATGACAGCTAAGATGCCTGTGTCTCGCATCAGGGTGTCTGAATTCAAACCTGCATCCAGCTTACTGGTATTGGAAATGCTGGGAGGCAGCATGGAAGGCTCTACTAACTGGGCTTCTGTCATCCGTATGTGAGACCAAAATGGGGCTCTAGCCTTCTGGCCTCAGCTGCAGCCTGACACCAAACACTGTAGACACTTGAGGGAATGAAACAGTGGATGGTAACTCTCCCTCTCCCTTGCTCTGCCTCACTCTGCCTCATAACTATCAAAGCAAATAAATACATTTTAGCTTTTTTCCTTGGCACATTCAATCCAGAATTATTAGGAGGAAGCACTATATTTTTATGTGTTTTTTCTTGTTCTTAGAATATATATGCTCAGATATGCCCTGTTAGGGATATAAAAGCATAGTTTAAGAAACATCAGAAGAAAATTAAAGGTTTAAGAAGAGAATTAATATTGTATTTCCAAAGTTAACTATAAAAACATTTAATCTGACAATTATGCTACACTGGTTCACAGTATACTTCACACAATATTATAATTAAGAATTTCTCAATACTTAATATATAATATATTTACATTTGTATAGGTACTTAGCTGCTAAAAATGCAGAAATACAACCCAGGTCCATTAAAAAATGTAACACTAAACAAAAAAAGAGAGAAATATGATAACCTATTTAACAAGGAAGTTTAAAAATAAAGCAGAACAAATTTGTTGCACCTGCCACCTTCTCATAAACATTCTAAGCATTGCAAATAATTTTTCTTTCAGGGTTTATGAACCCAGCGGTCTGCCAGGATGTTATTCCATAATGTCTATTAAAAAGGGTGGAAAGTGAGCTATGAATTTATAGGTTACGCGAGTTTGGAGGAAGTCCTCAACCTGACCCCGGTGGAGTCCTCCTCCCACTTACTTGGGGACATTTCTTCCAAATGAGAACTCCCACCCATCTGTTTATTCTCTGCTCCTCTGGGAAGCCACCATTCATCAAAAGAAGCATGCTCATCTTGCACGGTTTTGCCACCATTGGCACCTTTACCCTGTTTCTGCTGCTCCCATCTGAGTACTCTGGAAAAAAGCTGTTAGAACTCTAAATAATACAAGAAGGAAATCTTACTTTTTACTATCCTGGCAGATGAAAGAGCCCAAAACCCAGTTTTACAAGATCTATTAACCAAAGAAAGACATCCCCTACTTTATTTTTCAGAAACATATTGTGGGTTTGTTGCCTATTATTTTCTGTAAATATCAGAAAGATTAAAAAAAATGGAACTTGTTATTTCCTCCTTTAAACATCTTTTGGTTAAAAAGAATTGCCCAGATATTACAAGAAAACATAATACACAATGCTGCTTCTTCATACATGATTATGTAATCAAATAATATATAACTAGTATATAATCAAATACTAGATATAGCAAAATATGTAATCAGATAGAAATCAAATTCAATAAAATTGGAAAAGATTGAGAGTGACTAATATGAATATTCCATTCTATATTTCACTAATTTCAAAAAATAATAAGTTGTAAATCTGGATTATATTATTCAACAAAAAACTTTTGCTTTGTTAACACCAAATACATTACATAGATGATTCTAATTTTATTTTTTCTACCTAACTAAAGCTCAATTCAGCATAACTTGGGAGACAGCTATCCAGATTTCTGATGTGTATGCCTAAAGGAATTATTTAGTTACAAAGGTGTCACATGATGCTCACCAGGAAAAGCAGCAGCCCAGATGGCTGGCTGCAGTCCTTGCCTTTCCTGGGCAAATTAAAAAGTGAAATTTGCTGTTGCCAAACACCCATACTTTTTGGCACATCCATGGTACATATTCGATCAGAGTTTCACAGCCTTGGCACTACTGACTTTGGGGCCAGACTATTTTGTGGTAGAAAACTGTCCTGTGCATTACAGGATGTGCATCATCAACTCTTGCTTCTAACTAGTAGGCAGTAGCACTGCGAACCTTTTCCTGCCTCTCCTCCATCAGGTTTTGACAATCAAACTATGTATCTTTAAGCACTGCCATGTGTCCCTCAGGGACAAAAGTATCCCTGGTTGAGAACCACTGAATTAATTCAATTTCATTAATGGAGAGTCATGAATATAATTTTTCATTCTTACAAACTTATTTTGCTGAACTAACCAGTTTTAAAAATATTGTTTTGTTTTCATCAGCTTAGGGTATCTATCTACCTAAAAGCTTAGACTCAAACATCCAGATGGATGGATGGTTGGTGAAAACATGGTTAACTCAAGAACTCATTTTCTGCTTTAGAACATAAAGTATTTGAAAGAATCCTTGACATGATGAAGTTGTATAATCTCATCCAACAAATGATCTCACTTCAATCCTCACACTAACTTTACTATTAAGCAAAAACAGGCACATTTTCAAATATTGATTCCAACTAATGTCTGATCCTAACAGGCATGATCTTATCAAAGCCACACTATAATAGAAGGAGTGTCAGAGTTAAACAGAATAGGCTGGGATAAGATCACAATCTTCCTCACAATGATGTGATGGTATCACAGAATGGGGATAGTATTCTAAGTAATTATCATTAATAGATCCTGGCACAGGAAAGAGCATGCCTACTGGGGGTCTAAACACATTTGAGTGAGATAAAACAAGGTTGATGAGAATTATACTTTACGGTGCAAGGTATTTCTGAAGCATTTTTCAAAGTTTTAAATACTAGATTTAAAATGAATAGGGTAACATAGAATGATTATAGTACATTGAACACGGAAAGGGAACATGCTCTTTTATTAGTGATACAGGTGCATTTAAATTTTTTTTATCTATTTTACCCACTCTAGTTATTTCTGTACATCAATCTAATTAGAGCATTTATAAACAGGTTAGTTCTAGCTAGTGAGAGAAGTTAAATGCATTTCCTATTTGCAGTCTACCAGGCATTGATCTGATAAATTAATCTCTATCGTCAGAAATAGAAAAGGTTTGATAATAATCTTTAGGTCTTTATCCAAGCTTTAGTATATATTCACCATGGTAGCTAAGGCATTTAATGCAAAATGTTCTTCAACTTTTCAACTTAAAATGCATGTCTTGCAACACTTCATTAATTTTTGGCTCCTATATCCTGGTACAAAAGTTGTACCATGGTCACTTCATTGTTTACTTATTGATATAGTAAAAACGAAATCAGGTAATCTACAAAAAAGGTAAGGATGTCTTTTTTAACTCATGAATGACAATAGATATACTGGTAGATTTCATTTTCTGAAAGGTCTATGGTGCAAATCTACTGCTGCTCACTGAGACTTTCATGGTTATTACAGAGATAAAATAAATATTTGCCTGATAGAAGATACTACTGGTATTTTTTTTTTTTTTTTGACAGGCAGAGTGGACAGTGAGAGAGAGAGACAGAGAGAGAAAGGTCTTCCTTTGCCGTTGGTTCACCCTCCAATGGCCGCCGCTGCAGCCGGCGCACCGCGCTGATCCGATGGCAGGAGCCAGGATCCAGGTGCTTTTCCTGGTCTCCCATGGAGTGCAGGGCCCAAGCACCTGGGCCATCCTCCACTGCACTCCCTGGCCATAGCAGAGAGCTGGCCTGGAAGAGGGGCAACCAGGACAGAATCCGGTGCCCTGACCGGGACTAGAACCCGGTGTGCCGGCGCCGCAAGGTGGAGGATTAGCCTATTGAGCCACGGCACCGGCTCACTACTGGTATTTTAATTTGTTAATAATTAATGAAACACACGTGCTTTTGCCAGAAATGTACTGTTTAACTCTTAGTCGGTCATTACTTTTATATAAAAAAAAAAAAAACAAAAAATCATGTACTTTTCTTAGCACTATGACAAAATTGAAATTTAGCAAATGATGATATAAGGGGATTAATTAGCAGATAAGATCAAATAGGATGTTTCAGCAATCCACATAGGAGATTTATATACACTGTCATGATTATTACTAGCATTACTATTATTCTTACTCACACTTGGTCTAGATTTTTCTAGGGAGAAAAAAGTTTGTGTTTTCTTTCTCAAATAAGTAATTATTGGTGCAGAAATCTTTTGGATAATCGTTAAGGATGAGTGCATCACTGCGATCATTAGTAGAGAGAGAACCCTAACCACCACTAGTTGTTAACTTTGTACCTTGTCTAAAAATAATACACTCATTGACCTTAATCTTATCACAAACTGTTTCCAGCACCAAGGTCAAATAAAATAGTAAATAAATTCAGTATGGCCTGAGCATACCATAAGTATTTATGATATAACTGCAACTGCATCTTGCACTTTTCTTTGAAGAGTACATAGTTACAAGTAAAAATTAGTATTTTGAATAATTAACCTAATTTTAAAATATATTAGTGAAATTTTATAATGACTTAAGACCCAAAATTTATTTATCTATTAATATTTGAGTCTTCCCTTCAGAGCTTCCATTCTGTCTTAACACCATAATATAAAATACATATGGCCAAACTCTAAATATGTACTTAAATAAAATTATAGTAGAATTTATCCTCATATGTTTGCAGACACTCTCACTTTTACTTTGACCAAACAGAGAATCTACTGGAAGCAATTCAGAATACCTGTGGACTCTAATCTTTCAAAAGCAGTATCTGTGAAGGGTAATTGTTGGCTATTGAGGCCATTGTGAATCTAGAGAACTCATAGATTTTTACATCCATGTAATGCCAAATAAAGAAGTACTAAGAGCACAAGTATGGTGCTGAACATTTAACAAGGGTCAGCCACTGGCTTGGTTCACAGAATGGAAAGAAGGTTAAGCCAGTGCAGGTACGTTTTAATCTCTTAGCAAGCATCACAATGCATCCTGCTCATCCTCTTCCCAGTTTGCATTTGCAACAATGGATTACATGAAACTAATATCTGAAAAACAATCATCAATTTTCATATAGAAATACTGATTTTTGTTCTTTAACACACTAAAGGGATTTATGCAAAGAAAAGCAAATGCCACATAGTGAAACCTGTGACTAACTCTGATGCCAACAGGCTCATCACTATTTTTCATCTTTGTAACACACACCCATGATATTCTCTTTCTCTTCAGCGTGCTAATCAGAGCAGTGGTACCTGATAGTGGATGACTGACTAAAGAAATCAAGATTGAACTTACTCCCCAAGGCATACTGCGCCTCAGATCAAAGAGCACACATGTGGCATCCTGAAAATGCAATCCCACTGCTTTCACCTCTCAACTCCCTGACACAAGAACCAAAGACAATAATCCTTAAAACCAGTGATACAGTCTCAAAAGAAGGTGAGAAATTTACAGTTCTGAACTGACTCCATTAAATAAATTCTTTTTAAAAAGCTTAAAAACCTGATTTTCTATATTCTAATCTCAACGAAAAATAAAGAAGAGCCATACTGGATGCTAAATGCTTAAAACCAAGATGACCTCTTTTTAGAAGAATGTATGGAATCCCATTTGGAAATTTCCGTTGTCATAAATGAAATACAGTTTTTCCTAGAATTAAATAGAAATACAGATATTAAATTTTTAAAAAAGCAGAATATTTATTTAAAAACACAATTTTTCTTTAGCTATTTCAGATGTCATTATATCTCCTATAACACATGGCTAATAGAAAATATTCAAAGAAGGTTTACCTACCATTTCATAAACAAGAGAACACAGAATAATAACAAACTTCATAGTGATTTAGGACCAGATTGTTATTGGCATAATAAGTATTATAAATATCAATGGAAACTATAAAAATGTAATTAATGCTGGTGGAGTTATGAAGGTACTTCACTTTTATCAGTTTGACCATATATTCAACTGCATTCCTTATACGCTATTCTTTTTAAAGCTTTATTATGAAACCCAACTCCAACTTAAGCAGCCTCTAGGAGCAGTCACTTTGCAGAGGAATTTGCACTATCCCCATACAACCCAGTAATGAAAACACTGCTTTGTTACCAACATGGTATTAATATTAACATTCTGGTGATATGGCCAAGAGATCTAATAGTTATATCATGAGAGATTCACTACTTAAAAAAATTTTTTAAATACTATCACTGTACAATTTATCAATACAGATTTTAAAATGACTCACACTGGCAATATGGTAGGAAATTACTGAGGATTTTCTAAGAAGTATGTATTAGGCTACTTCAAAATGCTCATTAAAAGATGGAATTAAATGATAAGATTATTTTGGTGCAAAGTATTTTGAAATCCATGCATAGTTTTTTTCATAATATATATTTTGATGAAATTATATGCTTTATTTTGAAACTTTTTTGAAAACTTTAATCTCTATACTACCATATCATTGGGTCTTTTTGGTTTTTTTGAATATTTATTTATTTATCTGAAAGGCAGAGTTAGAGAGAGAGGTGGAGGGGTCAGAGACAGATCTTCCATCCACTGGTTCACTCTCCAAATGGCCACAATGACCGAAGCCAGGAGCCAGAAGTTTATTCTGAATCTCCCATGTTGATGAAGAGGCTCAAGTACTTGGGCCACCTTCCGTTGCTTTACCAGGAGCATTAGCAGGGAGCTGGATTGGAAGTGGTGCAGTCGGGACTTGAACTAGCACCCATGAGGGATGCCAGTGCTGCACGCGGCTTTTTTCCAATATGCCTCAGTGCTAGCCAGAAAATTTTTTACACATACCAAAATGAACATCTGTTAATTCCATCTTTTCATGAATATTTTGTAGTGTGCTCATACATTATGAAACCTTTGAACTGCTTGATGTAAAATGCGTTCAGCTCACGTTACAAGGCATTTCAGGAGAAACTGGGATACAATAAAACAAAACGAGTAGATAGTAATTAATTGGATAAAATGGACTTTATTTTTATTCTTTCTACTCACATCTTTCCTTTCAACTTTAAGAAACTGCACATGAGTTAGTAAAAGATATCTGGAAAACTATCAAGAAAATGCACCTAAAATAGAATACTACCCATTTCTTTGGATAGATACTGTCTGAGCAGCTGGAACAAGATGGCATGTTTCTTTTGTCAAAGCACTCAGAAGCTAAGGAGATACAAAAATAACACTGAAAAGACTGAGTACTCATCTGTCCCCTACAACTTGAGAGGTATACAAGATCTGCACCACTTTAACTAAATTGAGTATTCCTATAGCAATGCAGGTGATCAAGAATTAGAAAACATCATTGTTTTATCCTAAGATTTACATGCTCAAATGCACTATACTTGTTCTAAGATACATAGTAGAGTACTTAAAGTATGTGTATGATAATCTGGAAATTTTTAATATTTTCATGAGCTAAAATAAAGAAATCATCAAAAATAATAAATTTATGACAGGAAAATATTTGTTAAGCTTGTGTCCTTTCATTAAGAGAAGGGCACTGTACTTCATTAGATTGTTTTACTTAGAAGGACTAACAGCATAAATGAAACAACTCTTAATAGAGTTGTTGACATGATACAGCACATGCTTAATAAATATAAGTCAAGTTTTCCTTTAAGACTTCTATTATAATATAATTATCATTAAAGACAGGAACAGATTTTAGTCATTTAACTACTAGTAGATATAAGGGAAAAGCTGAAATCATACAAATGATTATTCCATTACTTTGATTTGATCATAATAAAAATAAAAAAAAAAATACACCACCAGGAAGACACACCATGTGATGAGGAAATTTGGTATGGAGACAAGTCCAAATGGGTCTTAGGCAATTTAGACTCTTAGGCCACCAATGTTCAACAGTTTAGACTGCGGCCATTCTAACAAGGTTACTTAACAATTAACTTCATTAACTTCAAGTAAAAGCATATAGCCATTTTACAAAAAGCTGAAGGTGCTTTACAAATGCAAAGTATGAATATCATAATCCAAACAGACCTGGACCTGTGGAGCTTCTTGAGGAAGGGTTTGTGTTTTGAAATGACATTAAAAGATATGTCACTTTCTATCTTTCTTCATATTTTCACATGGATGTTATTTTAACCAAAAGTTCAGAGTCTGAGTTAAACTCACCAGAATAAAAACATAGTTGAAGAGGGAGTTTCTTTGTACCAGTCTGGCCTGGGCAGAGTTGAGATCCCTCACCTGCAGGTGGCTAAGATTCCTAGCTAAGTGTTAAGTGTTGTGCTACTCATGGAATGCAAGGCCATTGCCTATCATTCTTCCACCTGACAACTACTTTGTTTTAAATTCTTTTTGCCCATATGTTAATTCATAAAATATCAGACCAATAGTTGAATGAATGAAAACAGAAACAAAACTACAGATGTATCTATAAACCTAAAGAGAGTTAGGAGTTAAGAGTATATTTACTTGATGTCAACTTTTTTGGCCTCCTTCACTAACTGTTGTCCGTATATATTATCATGGTGTGCTGTAAAATATTGGTTCTATTTTGCTGGAGCTTTAGCTGTCTTTGTTGTTATTTATTTATTTAATTAATTTAACTTCGGGGACAAGAATGATTTTATTTTAGATGTCAGTTTTTAGATCTCACTTAGAATTTTCTGAACTGTATGAATTATTTTTGAAGCATTTAATGTGTATTTTAAGAGTTT